CATGTACTGACAGAGAGCAGCCAGCACCCCCTACAGGCTGCACCGCTCATTACAGACACATTATCGACAAACATCCTGCTGGCTCTCTCTCGCTCTGTTCTAGTACATTTACTCAAATACTGCTTCTGTACAAATTATTATCTACCCCGTATCTCCAGGTGTGTTGATGTTGAATATTGGGAGCAGCAGTAATATTAATCCAAAAACATCAGATATAATAGTGAAACTGCACTTTCATTATTTTTACTTTAAGTACATTTAGTGTTAATACTTACATACTATTTCAGGTAGGTTGCATATCTTTACTTTATGAGCAGATCCTCTCCATCTGTCCAGTTTAAGGCCTCACATACTCAAGCAAAGTTTCAGTCACCATCAGACTATTACCTCTATAAGAGGCCAAATCTTTTTCTTTAAAGCTCCAGTGTGTAACATTGAGGAGGATCTATTGTCATTACTTGAATATAATATTCATAGGTATGTTTCCATTAGAGTTTAGTGTGAGTCCACCATGTTGAATAGCTATGTTTCTATAGTAGCCCAGAACTGACAAACACTGGATCTAGATAAAGACTTTAGCAATTTTGTGAGTTTTGTAGCCACCGTAGTAGTTGGAGTATCAGTAGTAATTTACTTGTGGTGATCCTCGTGAAATCTTTTATTTGGTGTAAAACATATGTTTCTTGTCTCTCCCCTTTCCTCCTCCTCCTCTTCACAGGTCTTCTCTGATTCGCTACAACAGCAGCACTCTCCCCACCCTCTTCTCCTCCTCCCTCCTCCATCATCAGAGCTCCAAGTCTTCAGAGAGCGACTTGTCCACGTCAACACTCCCCATCTTCTCTCACACTGTTCTCAGGGTGTCAAATACAGACGCGAGTGGTGTTCAATTGATTGCAATTAAACGGAAGCATTTTGCATCAAATGTGTCATAACTTAATGAAACCAAACACACAGACTTTGTCCACACTGGCCCCTTTTCCATCAAATTAATTCTGGTTCTTGAACCGGTTCCATTAAAGATTCTTCTAACCTATCGTTCAATCTGCAGATCCAACCTGCATTTCCACCAGTTTTGAGTGGAACTATTGTAATAACAACCGAGCAGCGTTGCACAACGACCTTTAGAATATGACACACTCACTATGTTTTCCAAGGAAAACACGATATATTTCTTGGTTCCATGATGCAACAGAGATCAATAGCACCAAGATTCCATAGATGATCTATAACTTCAGATGTTTACTCATAATCAACACAATAAACATTTTCCTCAGCATCATATAAACTGTCCTTGAACATCCATTGTAACATTCACATGTTCCCAAACTCATGAACAATATATGACAGGTGGTGCCATCAACCTGTAAACAAACCGAACTGGACTTACCCCCGTTGGTCACTTCCTGAGAGGCGATGACAAATCCAAAGCCTTCTCCTGGCCTCCTCCTCAGCTCCACCTCCACTGTCTTTACTCCTCCTCTTGCGTCTTTGGACACTGCTCCCAGCGCTCCTTCCCCTCTGGTGGGAGGAGGCCCGCCGGCGCTCTCCTCTACTCCCAGCAAATCTCGAGGCTCTAAGGTCAGCATCACAGGAACCGAGTCCAAGAAGCTGGTGCTCTGGATGAGGGCTGAGGCCTGGGGCCCGTTTGGTGCCTGGGCAGGAGGGGCCCCTGGAAAACAAGGAGGAGTCAGACTGGTAGGAGCAGGAGGACAAGGAGGCGACAGGCCTGACAACTGATTGATAAGTAGGACTCAGTCAGTGTAGTAAAGTGAAGTGTTGTTTAAAGCCACCTGCCTTGCTCAAGGGCACACAGTGCAGTTACCTTGGTGGGTTCCTGGGGCTGGTAGGTGTTCCTCCTGGGGACTCTCCGGGGCCAAGCCGGCCTGGTTCAGTGGGGGGACGCCCCCCACCAAGGCACCCGTGGACTGGGAAGGCAAGTCGGCTAAAGTCTGGGGGTGGGAGGAAGAGGGGGAGACCTGGCTGTGTGGGGAGGGGAGGGGCTTGTAGAGGTTGGGGGTGACGGCTGGTGAAGAGACAGGACCTGGGGGGGTGAGACAGGTATTAGTGATATTTGTGGGTTCACAGAAACAGTTCTAAACCTGGACCAGTGTCATCTGTAGCACTACCCATGTTGTTATTGGTTCCATATGAATGGATTTTAGGGGTTCAGAAGTACCTCCTCTGTAGACCAGGAGCACCACCTCTCCCTGTTTGGTGTGTTCTTGCAGGACTCTCTGGACCTGAGGAAAGAGAGGCACCGGTGGTTATTATGTTTACTGGCTTTAAATGGAGACTAACATAGTGGCCCTGTATCCTATTTCAGAAGATCCTGGTGTGAGAGTGAGGAGCTCATGAGCACTGCTCCTTCAGGAAGCAGCTCATGATGAAACATTCACACTTGTGGCAACAACTCAATTCACGGCATCTAAAACAAATTTGCACCTGTTCACGCCCACTTCCACCTTTACACTGACTGTATACACACGTCTCATGGCATCGAAACGATAAAAAAGTTGTCAGAGAGATCCTGGAGTCAGCGGGATGCAGCCAGGAGGAGACTAGGAGTCCCTTCTTCTTGGGATTGTTGGAATTAAAAATGCCTGTTTTTACGGCAGCTTTTCTATTAAAACTGTGATGCATGTTGAGATGTTTTTCAGCATTTTTTTGCGATGAAATTGTGAGAGAAAGTGAACGTTGCAAAAATTTATCTATAAAGCAAGAAATCTCTGTCTGTCTGTCTGTCTGTGTGTGTGTGTGTCTGTGTGTGGCTCAAATATCTCTGCAGATCAGGATCAGACTGACCTGAGAGTTTCAACATGGCTGCTGTGTGGTTTAAGGGTGTGCAACGTCAGCTTTGTTTGGACTATAAAGATACCGTTAATAAATTATTTCATAAATTATTTCCGAATTCCGCTAGCATTGCCAACGACAGCCACCGTAGCCACGTGCGCACCAGAGCCAATCACTGCAGAGCCCAAACATCCTGGAAAGTGAAAGTAAACTGATGTCTCGGTCCGGAGGGCTGACGGTCGCGGTGATTTTTGATTTTTGATCACAAACACTTTCGCCGGTGACAGACGCTGTTTTTCGGGCAGAAATAATGACGAAGAGTTGGTAGGACATGCGGGAGGACAGACAGGAGGACAGACAGGAGGACAGACGCTTCTCCACATACAGCTGTGGTATTTTTTTTCCTCATATAAGTTTCAAAAGACAGTTACAGTTACTACGTTACTGTTGTTTGGTCCTGTAACGTTGCTTTGTGGGACATTTCTCTTTATTAAGTTGAGTGAGAGACCTGTACAGTTATCAGACTGTCTGACCGACACGCCCTCGCTCCGCGCCGTCAGCTTATCCGTTCACACTGTAGGCGGTTAAAAATAATGCGTCCCTTATACTACCTCCAGAGGAGGATCAGGGATGGAGCGACATTTCCCCCCACGCCGCATCTGAGCCTTTCACACAGAGGAGGGTGCGGAGAATTGGCGCTGGATCCCCAAATCTCTCTCTCTCTCTCTCTCTCTCTCTCTCTCTCTCTCTGATGTATGCTGGCCTATATTACAGGAGTAAATAATGTGTCCTAAATGTCCCTGACGTCCCACCTTCAAACACAACCTCATTTGGCCATCCATGAAAAAGCTACTTAACCTCCCACTTTTCTATAGCAATACATACTTCCTACGGGCAGTGCACTAGTACTATTAAAGGCAACTTGTTCCAATGAGAATAAAATCTAAATAAAGTCTGTAGGAGTTTGAAAAGACTCTAACCATGCAAGAATGGCGATACTTTTACTTTTATCTTTTACGATTCTGAATTAATTCACAACTTTCATAAATTGATTTTTAAAAACGTATAGTTAAAATGTTCTCTTTGCTGCTGGAAATGTTGACTTTCAGGCTTCCATAAAACACAGTTGCAGAAAGCAGTGTAGCTACTGGCTAGTTGGTTGCTGCTAACTTTAGCTCTCGTAGTCAGTAGCCTAGCTAAAATGTAGCAGCGAGAAAATCAGCCGCTCTCTTCTTCATTGAAGTTTGGATTCTAAAATCTCTCGGGGAAGAAGGAGCTTGAAAAGATATTCAATATCAATATTACATGCGAGGCTTTCTCAGCGCATTGAATCAACACAGAATTCAAAGGAATTTGTTGAATTTGCATTAATTGTTGACTTCCTGGAAGGACTGGGATGGACTGCAGATGTGGTTGGACCACACATTGTATGCTATTTTCTTCAAAACATGTTGAAGCCTTTAGAGTAACATCATTCAAAACTCTCCTTCCAGAAACAATAAGAACCTCTTTGAAATAGTTGCTGCTGAAACCCCCGTCGTTAAAAAAAATGGCACAGACACTGATTGAAATCCTGGATAGCTAGCTCAGATTCTGGAGGTTTTATGAGACGATCTCGAACCTGACTGGTTGCATAATCTCTTACCTGGGAGAAGCTGAGGCTCTGTACGTCTGCTCCGTTGATCTTTACGATAGCATCCCCCGGCTGCAGAGAGGGGCAGTGCCTTCGATCCCAGACCCGCCTTACCACCGCCAGCTGACCTCCTTGCCCCCCTGCCGTTACGCTGAACCCCAGCCCTCCACTCTCGCTGCGTCCGAGAGCCACCGGTACGAGCTCCCCACCAGGAGTTGACGCAGGAGACCCCACACCAAGGGGAAGCACCAGCCCTGGGTTTCCTCTGGACGCTGGGGAGGGTGATTGGTGATTGGCTGGACAACCGTTAAAGCCGCAAGGTGGGACGTCTCTGGGTGGGGTCAGGGCGAGGGTAGTCTGGGGCATCAGTGGGCGCTGCACAGGAGCACCAGAAGGTGTGGAGGAGGAGGTGGGGTTGTTAGCAGTAGTGGGGCTGGTAGAGTTTTGGAGGAGACCCGTCTCTGGTTGAGAAAGGGGAAGTTTGGACAGAGTGTGGGAGGATGAGGAGGCGATGGGGAGTGTGGAAGAGGAGATGGGGAGTGTTGACGTGGACAAGTCGCTCTCTGAAGATTTGGAGCTCTGATGGTGGAAGAGGGAGGAGGAGGAGAGGGCGGGGAGAGTGCTGCTGTTGTAGGGAATCAGAGAAGACCTGTGAAGAGGGGGAGGAGCACAGGGGAGAGACAAGAAACATATGTTTTACAGCAAAATAAAAGATTTCACAAGGATCACCACAAGTAAATTACTACGGATACTCCTACTACTATTAGTACCCTGGTTGTAGAGATGTCACAATACCAGAAATGTTGTAGCAAGAAAACATGTGGGAACCAGTGCTTCCACCTTTGACAAGTCCAAGTCAAAGAGTCCTAAGAGGTTCCCAAGCAGCTTCCTTGGGAGACGCCATAATATACCATCTTTGATTCAGAATAACTACCACTGATCATCCATCTGCAATAAAATTGTGCTAGTAGGAAGATGTTTTTGTAATACTTCAACTATGGCGCCTGGGGTTCAAATCCGACCTGCGGCCCTTTGCTGCGTGTTATCCCCTGTCTCTGCCCCCCTTTCCTGTCTATCTTCAGCTGTCACTATGCCATAAAGGCAATAAAAGCCCCCCCCAAAAAAGTAATACTTCAACTATCGTTGCTAACACTGCTAATGCTAACACTGGAGTTCCTCTCACCTTCGTGTTCCAGCATTGGACACGCCGCCATCAGAGTCACTGTGATTGGCTGCTGTCCTTTCTGGAAGGGGTGGTGGACCCAGTGGGGCATCAGAGGAAGTGGGTGTCGGTGGGCCGGTCAGCCCGTTTGTCATTGGAGAGGAGTAGGAGGGCGGGGTTTGGCACAGTCCTGGATTCCAGAGTGAAGGAGTTAAAAATTCAACATATATATAAGAAGCATTTTCCTTATTATTTCTGCTGCCTGTGGACTGATTTCTATGTGTTTCTATGTAGGGATGAGGGTCAAAGGATGTGACCTTTATGCTCCCGAGTGCCTTCTCTCTCACCTGGTGTACTGCCATTGGCGTCGAGCGTTCGGCTGTAGGTGAGGTGTGTCAGGCCACGATTCATATTGGGGGGGTTGGGGGGCTCGTTGGAAGTTTGTGGCTGCTGAAAGGATTAAGTAGTCAGATTCAAGGTTAGAGATTTATAAAGGGTCATTGTTCAAGCAAAATAGTCAGAGTAAATAAACCGCACCGTCTCCAGACTCTGTTTTGGACATCCATCGGGGTTATAAAGCATCGGGTATCCTCTCCTCAGCACCACGTCCACGCTCTGACCCATCGGCACTGACTTCAGCATCTCCACCACCTCTTTATGAGAGCGACCCAGCACACAGCTGTCATTGATGTAGACGAGGATGTCCGCTGGAGGACCAGAGCCAGGAGACACAGTCAGTCTACAGGTTATTATAATATTATAATCTGATGTGCAGTTGTTGGGGTCAAAGATTGCGACCCTGTCAGCAGTAATGTGCACTGGACTGTCGGTTGTTAAGATATACGTAGAGGTCCAACCCTCAGCTGCAGTCGAGCATTGATGAAAGAATGAGTTTGCAGACAGAAGTGACCATTATTTTACTTTGCAGTGTGTCTGTGTTCACCGTTAAAGCCCTGATATACTTTAGAAGGGACACGGAAACGAATGCCTTGGTAGCCGAATGGTTATAGTGCATACCCTATAACTGCAGCGTTGCTGTTTGACTCCAGCCAGCAACCTCTCTCTCTCTGGCCTTAATAAAATAATATAAAAAGGGATGTGATCAAGACATCAGGTACTGTATGTATTCCAAACAGAGGGCCTGTAGATGTGTAATATGGCCCCATCCAAAATATTGATAGTCAAATCTTTATTAATTGTCTCTGAAAGACAATGTCACTGTCAAATTATTGGACTTATCTACAGCACAGAACTCTGCCCTGTATCTACAACACTGACCTATATAACAATTTCATCATTAGTTACTATTATATAACTCACATTAACAGTACAGATCTCTGACCTGTATCTAGAGCATTGACCTCTGCACTGTATGTACAGCACTGACCTATGCTCTGTATCTATAGCACTGACCTCTGTCCTGTATCCATCCTGCCCTCAGTAACTATCCAGCTATGATTGTCAAATGGACTCAATCTTCACAAATCTTAATTGTTTCTAAAAGACAATTAGTGTCAAATTATTGGACTTCACTAAAACTTATGAAATAAAGTTAATATTAATATCACTTTTTAGATAGTACAGACCTTTGAGCTGTATCTACAGCACTGACCTATATAACAAAATCATTGTTCTTTCTAATATATGAATTGGATAAACAGTACAGACCTCTGACCTGTACCCACAGCACTTACCTATAACGTCTCTGAAAGACAGTACGACACTAAAAGGCTTTATATGTGAACAACTGCATCTACAAAAATGTCAGCGTTATAACCATCGAAAACATATACGGAAGAAGAAAAATAATAATAAGCAAAATAAAGGCTGAAGATTGGGCCAATCACACAATAAATAAAAGCACAGGAAGGGACCATGGGAGGAGGGTTTCCCTTCATGGATAAACTCACAGAATAGTTGAGGCATTATGGCCGCTGTCATAGTGGCTTTTGCAGCCAGCAGTGATGACGTACTGTGAGTTGAGCTGCTTTCATTGGCTGCTCTTATTTCAAAATGTTTGTAAGCTAGTACGCTAGTGTTTTGCTACAGACCAAAACGCTAGCTAAGTAGCTAGCTAATCTACATTAATCGTTGGCTATCTAGTTACATCTGATAGCTAATGTTAGCAAAGCACATAGTACAGTACAGGAAAGGAGGAAGTTGACCGAGGTTCTGACCGTGGCTTGCTCAACTGTGATTGGAGCACAGAACAAAAGGGTTGGGGCTTAGGAAGGGACAATAATAGTAATAAATAGTAAGTATTAGTAAGTATTAAGTAGTAATATAAGCTCTGTGTGTTTTCCACCATTTTGAGTTTTTATTTTACAGTGTTGGTGAGTTTCTGGGGAACTAGTTTTTTTGTTGTTACTGTTTTCTACTCTTCTGTTGTTTGTCCTCAGATTTTTGTTCTCTGATGTTGATCAGTGCTCAGGAGTTTTCTGCTGCCTGTTGAACTCTGGACTCTCTTTCCCAGGAGATTTCATGACCTGTGTGTGTGTGAGTTACATTCCTGAGTATTTATCCTCAGTGCATGTGAGCAGGTCTGACAGTGTGGGAGAGAAAGGAGGCTGTGTGTGTTGGACAGATTAAACAGAGTGTGTGTGTGTGTGTGTGTGTGTGTGTGTGTGTGTGTGTGTGTGTGTGTGTGTGTGTGTGTGTGTGTGTGGATTAGCTGTAGATCATGAGATTTTGTCTCAGAGAAAAATACAGACCTGAGAACCAAACAGAAACATAATCCTCCAGAGAGAGAGAGCGAGCCTGTGTTTTATAACTGATATCAGTCTGTGTTACTGTGTATAACTGCAGTGGGAGCCACTTGTATAACGTGAACAGACATTTTTACATTACAGGTGGAACTAATAACATCATTATTGCTGCAGTGCAGAGCAGCGTTCTGTTATTACTTGAACTGATCTGATGATTTATAATATTATTTTTTTCATGTGATTGTCAATTTCTTTGTTATATTCATGCTTTTTGACTTGCAGAACTTCCTTTCATCTTTGTTCATATTTTTCTTGTTCTATGTTAATTATTCTTACATACACTAAAGCAAATTCCTCGTTTGTGAAAACTTTATTGGCAAAAAAACCCCAAATCTTATTCTGATTAGTATGGATGCCTATTTCTGGCATTAAAATAATCAAATAAGATGAAAACTTAGCCCTGAGTATAAAAAATGTCATGTTAAGTCAAAATTTAAAACATTAGTTAGATAGAAGTTATGAAATAAAAAGTTGAAATTATGAGATACCATCCAGCTCTTTGTAAACAGTATCAGTACCTGTGTTCAGTGCTGGCGGGCCTCCAGGTGTGACACTGTACACCTGCAGGAACTCCCTGGGTCGACTTCCTCCCACGATGTTAAAGCCGAAACCTCTAGGACCTTTGGAGAGCCGAGTGTGGATGGAGTAACCCTTCAGCTGACTAGGCTGCTCTGTGAACTCTGGGACTGACACACAGGACAGAGACATTTATAGTCAATCACATTAACGAATGGACATCTAATAAGTCCATTATAAAGTGGGGTACCACAGGGATTTGTTCTTGGACCACTCATATTCCCTCTATATCAATGACCTGGCATCCTCCATGTACACAGTACTTTTGCAGACGATACTAATTTATTTCTCTCACATTATAATCTCTCTAAGCAAACTCTGCCCTAGCAAGAATTTCAAAATGGTTCCAATTGAACAAGTTGTCTCTCAATGTAAAAAAATCTAATTTTATCATATTTACATAAAAAATTAAACATATTGTAAATCTAACTTTTGTCTCTTCATTGGAAATGACCCAATAACCAGCTCTCTTCCACACGTTTTCTTGAAGTCCAAATTGATGAAAGTCAAGAAGACTTAAATAGAACTCACATTCAGTTTATCTGCAATGAAATATCCAAATGTATTGGCATCATTGGTTGGTCTGGTCTTGTTCACCAGAAGTGTCTATTAACTCTTTATTACAGCTTCATTTGTCCTTACCTCACAAACTGCAACATCATTTGGGGTGCTACTTGTCCCACTCACTTATGTAAGCTTTATATTTTACAATAAAGGTTTTGCAGAATCGCCACATCTAGCAGCAGAGCTGAACACTCTTTAATCAGCTCAATATTTTAAAAGTATTAAGTATAAATATATATCAAACTTTTTATTTATTTAAATAGATGGGGCAGGTACACCAGATAATACATTTCCCTTAATGCAGCTGGGTGGACTCATTTAAAGTACAGGAGTAAAATTACACACAGTGCAGTACATTGTCTCTGAGTCTATGTGTCAGGACTAGATTGTTAATCAGTGTCAATCAATAATCAATGTTAAAGCAGCATTGTTCAGTTTGAACTACTTTATATACAATGGCAGGATAAAAAGTTCTCTGATCAGATCTGAATTCAATGAGTCTGTTTACTTTAGTGAGTCTGTGCTGCCTCCTGCTGGCTGTCAAAATAAAAGTCCACATACAGTAACAGGAAGTTTCTCTGATCAGAAAAACAACTTCCAACCAGAAAAATCAATATAGGAAACATTGGAAATACTAATAAAAATATAATAACTGTACCAAATTTACAACTTTAGCCTTTAGAGGAGATTATTTGTTTTAATGAAAATAATAGGTTTACTAAAAATACTGATAAATTAATAAATAACAACAAAAATAAAAAACCCTAACCCTAAACCCTAAAATGTGTATAAATAAAAGAAAATAAATAAAAATTGATTAACAATAAATAGAAAATACTGATTGCATCCACTGATGTTGGTTTGAACAGTTAATGCAGCAAACAGCAGCTGTTGCTAAGTTCAGACAGATAATCAATCAATAGATCAAACAGACTTACGTTCTGTACAGGAAGTAGTCTCTTTGTTCTGAGTTCGAGGATCCAGCCAGCTGGTCGTCTTTGAGTTATGACTGAAAGAGAGAGGCCATCATTATCATCATCTGCATGAATTCTGGGTAATGTAGGAACAGTGGAACTCATCAGAACGTGACTGTAAGTAAAATTCAGGGTTTTTTTTCTGCCTGGTTTGGTTGAAACATTCACTTACTAAAGTCGCACATTAAACTAAACTGAGTATCAGATAAAAAGGCATTTTACAGGGACATTTGGCTCCTATTTATGTGGATATTCAAATAAGTGTTGATGGTAAATGTAGTTAATCGCAGCAATTAACTACATATGTGACACATTTTCCCATTAAGGTTAAAATCATTCCCATGCACCAGACTCCATTGAAAAAACATTACATTTTAAGCTTTTAACACCATTAGTATCCACAACTCACCCAAACATATTTTGTCCAACAGTCAGAATCAAAAAGTCCAATTCAGCTGAGACCAAAATAATACTCAATCAATAGAAATCTGATTATCGATGTTTGTAATCAATCAATCAATCATAAGTATCATTACTTACTCAATGTAGTACGGCTCTCCTGAATCACTGAACGCCAGCTCCCAGTTTTCAGGCAGCGGACCTCCTGCTCCTCCTGCTCCTCTTCCTCTTCCTCTCCCTCCTCCTCTTCCTCCTCCTCCGTTCTCTGTTCCCTCCCGACTCCCCACCGCCGACTCCCACGATTGGCTGAGAGGCAGGTTGGTGGGCGGGACTCTGGCTGAACCCCCTGAGAGAGAGACAGAGAGAGTGAGACAGTTATCCTACAGTGATGTAACAGACTGTCTCCAACTAATTATTAATTAATTCTCGTTTCCTCTACCTGCTCTGGTAAATACATTTAATTTGATTTGATGTGATAAAGATCCGTGATCAGACTGCAGGGACTTAATATTGATCAGAATCAATATTGATCAGAATCAATATTGATCAGATATTATAATTATACCCACCTGTTTACCAGAGTGTTGAACAATTCAAACATATATTTTAATTTGAAGTCAATGTAAAGCCTTGGCTTCAACATTAACCAACGGCCTGTAAGTGGTCCCGATTTGTTTTATTGCCATACAGCGAGAAAGTATAAAACATGATATTTCCTGTTGCCAGTAGGTGGTGCTATCACTATATCTGAATATTATCATGCAGACGTGTTCACGGCGGGTGTGAAGCTTCGTTGAGATCGGATCATGTACGCTAAGTCACAACAACTTCCTTTTTCATGGCGAGTCGTCGAAATTGAACAGTCACAAATAGTACGACTTTTAATCGTGAAGGTATTTACATCATACTGACCAAATTTGAAGTTGAGCTGATAAATTCCCTAGGAGAAGTTTGTTCAAATTCAACGCCAAAAATGACCGGTAAATCCAAAATGGCAGACTTCCTATTGGGTTTGGGATATGGCTCCAAGAGGATTTTTGTACATCAGGAGGTGATCAACATGTGCACTGTGGGCTGCTCAGTGTCGAGCTACTTTTTTGCGCACATATGTCCAAGACCCATAAAATACACGACTGACATGTGCGCAAAGTTTCAGGACTTTTCGAATATGATAAGGCCTCCAAAAAGGCATTTGAAATGTCTGAATAATAATAATAATAATTCCTACAGATACAATAGGGCCTTTGCACGGTCAGTATCTCAGATACAGCCAATGAGAGCCAGAGTTTGTGCAGCAGGAGGAGATAGAGAGAGTCTATACTGCAGTCAGTCACCAGGGGGAGATAGAGAGAGATAGAGAGAGAGAGAGTCTATACTGCAGCCCAGGATAAGAGAGAGTCTATACTGCAGTCAGCCACCAGGGGGAGATAGATAGAGAGAGAGAGAGAGTCTATACTGCAGTCAGCCACAAGGGGGAGATAGAAAGAGAGTCTATACTGCAGTCAGCCACCAGGGGGAAATAGAGAGAGTCTATACTGCAGTCAGCCACCAGGGAAATAGATAAGTCTATACTGCAGTCAGCCACCAGGGGGAAATAGAGAGAGTCTATACTGCAGTCAGCCACCAGGGGGAGATAGAAAGAGAGTCTATACTGCAGTCAGCCACCAGGGGGAGCTGTCATGTCGTCCATCGTTGTTTATGTGGAAGCTTTACATACTCACATTGTGGGGACTAGCATTCCTTATGGGGACTAAATCCCTCATAAAGTGAATCATTAAATGTTAGGGTGAAGTCTTGGTTAGGGTTAATGTAAGTCATTAATTATTATAATGTAAAGTGTGTCTGTGTTTGTACCCGACAGTCCGCTGTCCTCCTCACTGTTGTCTCCTTCCTCCACAGCTTTCTCCAGGTTGCTCAGAGATTTGCTCCTCGTCCTGAAGTTCCTCAGCAGGTTTCGGTGTTCCTGGTACGTGATTGGTGGACTCTCCGGACCGATGTGGACCGGGCGGGGTGTCCCATAGTAGTTCCCTGTGATTGGATGGAGAGAAAAGATTTTTAATTTTTTATTTTTTTGCCAAAAATTAACCCGTCAGTCTCACACTGTAAAGTGCTTGGAGAGTAAATTAATCAGAACAGAACAGAAAATAATAAATGACTCATTTTACTAATTTAACAGAAGTTCAGTTTCATCACATTGTTCAGTGCGAACAGAGATATTTATGTGTGAAATCAGTTTCTATTTTAGTCTCATTAATCCCATCAGATTAATACTGCAGAGAGAGAGAGGGACAGAGAGAGAGAGACAGAGAGAGACACAGAGACAGAGAGACAGAGAAAGAGAGAGAGAGAGAGAGAGAGAGAGAGAGAGAGAGAGAGGGAGGGGGGGTTAAACAGAGATGTAGGACAGACTGAGGCAGGTTTCCTTTTTGAAGGATTAGTGACAGAAAATCCTCTTTTCCTCCTGAACACTATTAAAAAAACTGCCTCCATCAGGTTGTGAAAACACAGAACCACATCCTCTGTGGCTTCAAATGAATCCAACAATGCAGTTCCTCTAACGACCACTAGAGGCTCCAACAGTGACTGTCCATAAGTGTGTTGGAGGTTCTGGATATTTCACACAGGCTACAATTCAACTCAATTCAATTTTATTTGTATAGCACCAATTCATAACAGAAGTTATCTCAGGACACTTTTCAAATAGAGCAGGTCTAGACCGAACTCTTTAACATTAATTACAGAGACCCAACAGTACCACCATGAGCAAGACCTTGGCGACAAGGGCAAGGAAACACTGCCTGTTAAAAGGCAGAAACCTTAGACAGATCCTCCGGCTCTAGGTGGGTGGGAGACTGTCTCGACCAGTTGGGTGAAAGAGAGAGAGAGAGAGAGAGACAGACAGACAGACAGACAGAGACAGACAGACAGACAGACAGACAGACAGACAGGTGCACAGCAACAACAGTATTGGCAATGGCAATCTAGCAGGACCATGGCAGGAGGCTCCACCAGGATCCATGAGAACCTGCGAGACGAGAAAGCACAAGAACTCCGGGGAAGAAGTGAAGTTAGTAACATGCATTAAAGGGACATGAATGAGTGCAGAAAGAGAGAGGAAGAGAGGAGCTCAGTGCACCATGGGAAATCCCCGATAGTCTAGGCCTATAGCAGCATAACTAAGGGATGGTTCAGGACTCACCTGATCCAGCCCTAACTATAAGCTTTATCAAAGAGGAATGTCTTAAGCCTACTCTTGAATGTGGTGAGGGTGTCTGCCTCCCGAACCACAACTGGAAGCTGGTTCCACAGGAGAGGAGCTTGGTAACTGAAGGCTCTGGCTCCTGTTCTACTTTTAGAGACTATAGGAACCACAAGTAGCCCAGCATTCAGAGAACGTAGTGTTCTAGAGGGGTAATAGGGTACTATGATCTCTTTAAGATATGAAGGGGCCTGACCATGAAGAGCTTTATAGGTGAGGAGGAGGATTTTAAATTCTATTCTACATTTTACAGGGAGCCAATGCAGAGAAGCTAGTGGATACAATGGATTCAAGGACCGTGGAACCAGGAGGGCGTTGGTCAGTTGTTTCATATCCATTATTTGTGATGACAGGATGTCGTAGATGCTGATTATCTGACCAAAGGTATCGCTGTTTGTTGTCTGCTGGTTGTTGTATTAATGGCAGGACACAAGTGTACAAATAAAGTTGTATTATGTGTGTGTTTGTATGAATAAAGTTGTGTTATGTGTGTGTTTGTATGAATAAAGTTGTATTATGTGTGTGTTTGTATGAATAAAGTTGTGTTATGTGTGTGTTGTATGAATAAAGTTGTGTTATGTGTGTGTTTGTATGAATAAAGTTGTATTATGTGTGTGTTTGTATGAATAAAGTTGTGTTATGTGTGTGTTTGTATGAATAAAGTTGTATTATGTGTGTGTTTGTATGAATAAAGTTGTGTTGTTGAGGGTGTGTTTGGTTTTCGTACCTTTGAACTTGCCGCTCTCCAGCAGAGCTCCGGACTCCTCCAGAGAGAAAAACTCCTCGATGGACACAAAGTTGTAGTCCACGCCTGAAATCTCGCCATCCCGAGGCTGCCGGGTCGTACCTGCGGAGCACAGTGATGTCATCACAGAGGGACGGATCTGTAGTCCGGTCACAGAATGAATTACTGAATACAACATGGAGAGTGTTAAATATCCCACTGTGTGTGTGTTTGTGTGTTCCTCTATTAATAACCTTCTCTCGCACACACTCAAACACACACTCACACACGTTTAGTTCACGTCCTGTAATCATTAACAGAGTTCATCAACTCTCAGAAGCCTGCTGCTCTGATCTTGTTTGCAGGTGACGTCATGTCGCTGCGTTCCAGTGGAAAACTCCAGATGGAGGACAGGAAGTGATTTTCTACGTTGGACCACAAACTCTGAATGCTGAAATTAATCAAACCGAGAAACCACGAAGAGCTTTTATTGAAAAGTTGTTCATAAGGAGAAATTCTGTGTTCTGTGAGTTAAAATCAGTGTTTTTATCAATGGAGTCTGGTGGCTTTGGAGAGAGACTTTCCTTCATCTCATCCGTTTAAAGAGTTCGGTCTAGACCTGCTCTATTTAAAGTCAAAATATTTTTTTTTTTTTTTTGGGTTTTTAAAAAAAAATTTAATTGAATTTAATTGAATTGAATCCGTTCTGCTTTTCACTTCCTGTCATCCAGCGGAATTTCATTAGGCATGTGACTGCAATCAATGAATCAATCAATCAATCAATCTGAACTTCAGCTCTAACATTCATTTAAAGGATCAAACGGGTGTTTTATTCATTTCACTACAAACATCACAGTGTGTGTGTACATCCATCTTTGTGAGGACTAGAGTTTGTGTTTATTAATCTACCTTTTTCTACGAGACCACAGAAGAAGAAAACAGGGGGGTTTATCTCCACTTCCTGTTACTTTCTGCTGTTTCCAAGGTTCATTATTAGAAGGTAGGTCAGCTCAGTTTATGGGAATTATTAAGGTTCAAATCCCCTCTGCTCCACACTGTCACACCAAACTCCATTCAAAAAACGGCTGTTTTAAGGAAGTAAAACCTTTATTTCCACCATCAGTGAGACTCTGATTCTCTTCAATCTACAGACACAATCTGCTCACATTGACTCAGTAACATCATTAACTAACCTGTGAGGAAGAGTTGGACACAGACACACTCACTGACTGTCTGTCATTAACTAACCTGTGAGGAAGAGTTGGACACAGACACACTCACTGACTGTCTGTCATTAACTAACCTGTGAGGAAGAGTTGGACACAGACACACTCACTGACTGTCTGTCATTAACTAACCTGTGAGGAAGAGTTGGACACAGACACACTCACTGACTGTCCCTCTTCATCCTCTCTGTGGATTAAAGCCACAGATCTTTTCTTTTACTGTCCTTTATTGATTAGGAAAGGGGGTGTGGTCATTCTAAAAACAAGTAAGTAGCGTACGGCTGCTCTCATGTCCAATGATTAAAAGTTCTGCTAAATGTGACCAGAGACAGAGAGCAGGAAACACAAAAAGGACTAGAGACGCAGTCCTGAGGCCGCCATGCTGCATGGGAATGTATTATGTCAACGAGGGTCCTCACAATGACAGAAGTACAAGGACATGTACAGGTGGGTGTGTACAGGTGAGAGTGTACTGGTGAGTGTTTACAGGTGATACAGGTGAGAGTGTACAGGTGAGAGTGTACAGGTGATACAGGTGAGAGTGCACAGGTGAGAGTGTACAGGTGATACAGGTGAGAGTGTACAGGTGAGAGTGATACAGGTGAGTACAGGTGAGGAGTGTACAGGTGATACAGGAGTGTACAGGTGAGTGTACAGGTGATACAGGTGAGTGTACAGGTGATACAGGTGAGAGTGTACAGGTGATACAGGTGAGAGTGTACAGGTGAGAGTGTACAGGTGATACAGGTGAGAGTGTACAGGTGAGAGTGTACAGGTGATACAGGTGAGAGTGCACAGGTGAGAGTGTACAGGTGATACAGGTGAGAGTGTACAGGTGAGAGTGTACAGGTGATACAGGTGAGAGTGTACAGGTGAGAGTGTACAGGTGATACAGGTGAGAGTGTACAGGTGAGAAGTGATACAGGTGAGTACAGGTGAGAGTGTACAGGTGATACAGGTGAGAGTGTACAGGTGAGAGTGTAAAGGTGTGTCTTACAGGGTACAGCTCGCAGGTACAGGTTCTCTCTGATGAGCTGCTGCAGCTGACTGTCCATGGAGCCCGGAGTGAAACACTTACTGAGGTACAACCTGAGGTCCTTACAGAGGGACGAACCTGACACACAGACAGACAGACAGACAGACAAAGGATATGAGCTCACAGTAATCAGACACTATATTTAGTTTTTAGTTTTAGTGAACTAAGGTTCAAAGATGGCGCCCCTTTCATTCTAATGACTCATCATGGGATTACCAGTGGTCATCCCCCTCTTTTTATTTATGACTGCAGCTCTCTTTCCACAGATAAAAATGACACTCTACACTACGCTTGTTGTTCTACAAAAGATGGGTTGATAATTAAGTGCCTTTTTGATTGTAAATCAGGGTTAGATATCCCTGAAATGTGTTTACATCTCTTTTAGTCTGACAGCTCCACCTCCCTTTGGAACTCACACATGGCACGCTGTAATCCTTTGTTTTAAAGAAGTAATTTATGAGAGGCCCATGTAAGAGCCCTGACATTCCAATACTGATAGCAGAAACGGCTCTGGCAGTGATATAGATTTAGTTCTAATTTAATACTATTGTAAAATTTCATCTCCTCCTAATTAACAGATTGCCATCCAGCATGAGAAGGTCGCAAATGTAATGTTTGTCTGATGTTCCTGTCTTCAGATTGGACTGAGTTACAAAACCATGTGTAAAATGTCTGAATGTTTGATGGAGCCACAGCGCCACCTTTTGGTAAGGTTCTGGTATAGCGTAAGGTATCTTCAAAACAGACTTTGTTTTATAATTGTGTAGTATTCCAAATAGTAAATGCCTGACACATAATTTTTATAACAAGGGTTAAGCTATTAACACTATACGAAATATGTACAATCCATCAGTGCTGCTTTATATGCATGTTTAATGAGTATGATTTAATGATTTTAATCAGTTCTACTTTTCCTTTACATCAAGTGATTTTGGTTATGTTATGTTAAAACATGTGAACTATGTATTAAGTCATGGTGGGTTCTGTGAACGGTGAATCATGATCTCGAAACTTTAAAACACGATAGGAATAAATTATAAAGTTACGTGAATTCAAAACAGGAAATCACCAGAGGAAGTGACGTGCGCGGTCAGCTCCTCTCGTCCAGTTCCGCCTCCAGAATAATAGATATAAGGGATAGACTCCGGTCACTCCTTCTCTTCTGATCTCTTCTAAACTTCGTTCTCTGCCTTTCTTCTTTCTAAGATCCATTTGTTATTTACTCTCGTTCTTACTTTTAATTTCAGTACTTTACTTTGTTTTGCGACATGTGTTGAATTTTTCTTCAAGTTATAAGTTGCGGTGCTGAAGTACTTTTCAAGTACTTTTATTTTGAAAGCTAAAGACACAAACAAATTTCTTCTTTTATATTTTTGTAGTCTTTTATATATATATATATATATATATATATACCGTCAAGTATTGTCGCCTTATTCACAGAAAGTGAATTTAGTTTTAATTTTAGTGACAACGGAGAATTTAGTTTTAATTTTAGTGACGACAGAGAATTCACCAGGCCAGCGTTTCATCCTCCAGTAATTTTCAAACAAGAAGCTGAATTAGTTTACAATCAAAGCTGAAGACCAACCACTCTAAGACATTTATCACCAGCCAGAAGGACGTCGCAGTAGTTGACTGCTCAAGAAGACGTACAAACGTTTTCAGCCGAACAAAGACATTATTATCCAGTGACTCTCTGCCTCCAACGCACTCAAGCGTAAAACTATGCGCTGGGCCTTTGAATTTAAGGGCCACTGGAACCAGGGACGAGACGCAACTTCCTTCGGCCTGTTGGACCAGTGATGCAAAGCTGCAGTTGAGGTAGGAGGAAAGCCAAGGGCCTGGAATCCTTCCAAGTTCCATCTACAAACAAAGTGGGCTGACTCTCTGGTACAGGACCGGATTCACACACATGAAAAAGAGCTGGTGTCTGTCTGTAAGCTTTGATTCCCATCTTTTAAGTTTAAGAGAATTTTGGATTAGGGCCTCGTAGTTCTAAAATTTACTCTCGTAATATTTTAAACTTACTGCCGCATCGCAAAATCCACCATCGCTCCTGAATCACCTAATAGTAATAATTCATATATTGTCCACATATTCTGTTACTTGTTGTCATTTGTTTGTTTATCATTTCATGCTATTTACTCTGCATTAGTTTAGTTAATAAACATATATAACCGTATGTCCTTGTTAGTGCAGGTTTGATTTGATGCGGGGAAATCGATGAATCGTGTAAAAGAAATCACTACTTCAGAATATGAGATTGAATATAGAATATGAGATTGAATATATATTTCGAAATTGAATATATATTTTGAAATTGAATAAATTGATTTGAAATTGATTTGATTAGATCTGTGGAATAATTTCCTCCGGATTATTCCAGTAGCTAAACAACAGAGGTGGTGCCCCATTTACGAGTGTATTATTAATCTTCAGTGATTAATTACCTTTATTATTAAGTAGTGTAACCCCTACAAGAATAAATCTTGTACAGTGTAAATATCTGACACGGACCTGGTGAGACAGTCTTGATTCTGATTGGATGAGGACAAGAGTTGAGGACTCCTCTGACATCACCGAGGGTCATCCCTAACACGGGCGTCCCCCCGATCTCTAAGATGATGTCGCCCACAGTGGCCCCGCCCCCGTGGGCTGCCGTGACGAATGGGAACTCGCCGTAGTCGGCCCCGCCCCCGATGGCCAGACCCAGCTCTCCGGAGCCGCCGCCCAGCGGGACGAAGCTCTCCTGGACCTGGAAGACAAATAAACATGGAGGATGGGCGGAGACGCTGCAGAGACAGTTCAGGTGTTCATTATAACGTCGTTTTCGCCGTTACCTTGGAGCGCCAGTGCAGCTTCTTCACCGTCGCTTTAGACATGGCGGCCGAGCTGCAGACAGGAAGAAACAAACAACGTCACTGAGCATGCTCAATAAATATAAACCTGTTCACACTTCACACCTCCTCGCTAACTGGCTAGGAAGCATTTTAAGCCCTTGGCTTCTCACAAAGAGACTTCTTTACCTGTTTCCTTACTAGGACGATTTCACTGCCAAACCAGGAATCATCTTTTTTTTTTTTCTGCGGCTCCTTTAGTAGGAGACAACTTAGGAAGCTTCCTCACTACCTAACCAGGAAGTTTGTTTACATCCACGCTAACTAGCTAGCGAAGAGGTAAACAAGAATTTTTAACTCCTTAATTTACTTTTTACGTCCTCACTACTTAAGTAGAAACCTTTGTTAACTTTTTATTACCTAACCAGAAAATGTCTTTACCTCTTTGTTTGCTTAGGAAGTTTGTTTACCTCTCTTGTTGCTAACTAGCTAGCTAGTATCTTTTTCTTCCTCCCTCTGAAGCTTCTCAACCAAACAGCAGACATTCACCAACAGACGGGTTTTCATTGTCTGTGCTTTTAATTGGTCTCCTAGCAACAGTGAAAGTGCCAAAATGTTTAATCAGCAGAGAACAGTTTCCTGTTTGGGATCAACTCATCAACTGCTTCAGTCTCACAGAACGGCAGATGGTGGCGGACAGCGGGGAGCCACACACACACACACTGTACACACACTGTACACACACACAAACACACAAACACATGCATTCAGCCACTGACACCATTTCATTATACACACACACACACACACTGTATTAAATATGGATGAGCATATGTGAAGGTGGCAGTCAGAGAGGAAACAAACAACAACGTCCCCGAGCAGCGTTTCAAACAATCCCACTCCTACAAATTACAAATAAAAACACCACAAAGGAAACAAGCTTTCTAGGAAACGGCGGCGTAACGTGGCTTCCTGAAAGAAAGAGTGGAGGTAAAGACACTTCCTGGTTTGGCAGTGAGGAGGTAAAGGTGCAAGGAGGTGCAGAGGCTTTCTGGTAAAAGTATTAATGTGGTGAAGAGGTATTAAAGGAGGTGGAGGTAAAGAAGCTTCCTTTTAAAAAAGTAATGGTAAATGGACTCGTACCTATATATTTTCCTTTCTAGTCTTCCGACCACTCAAAGCGCTTTTATACTACAGACACGTTCACTCAGTGATGGTAAAGCCCACCCAACAGAAACTAATGCATTCATACACATTCACTCAGTGATGCACGGCATCAGGAGCGAGTCGGGGTCCAGCATCCTGCTCAAGGACACTTTTACACGTGGGGATCGAACTAACAACCTTCTGATTAGGGGGCGACCCGCTCTGCCTCTGAGCCACAGCCGCCCTGTGTAGAGAAGAGACTCGTGTTTGGAGGCAAAGAGGAAAGAGGGTGATAGAAGCTTAAAGTCTCCAAATCGCTTACAGCAGCCAATAGCAGCTAGCGATGTGAGCTAACGTCAGCGTCTACCTTCCAGTGAACACAGCTGGACCCGGGATCGAACACAATCTCAGAGACCGACGGGTACTGAGGTGGTTTCCTTGCCAGGTTTGGCTCCTGGCATCCCGAAGCTGAGTCAGTTAGCTTAGCTGCACAGCTGACTGAGCTAACAGCAGTTAGTGGTTGGCTACTTATCAGTCTTTGTAAAGGATGTGGTGAGGAGGTTAGGAAGCTTCCTACGCAGGATGTGATATTGTTGTTTCCTAAGAAGAAAGCAAGTACAAACAGAGCTTCCTAGTTTGGCTGTGAAGGAGAGAGGAAGCGGAAGAGTTTGGTAGTGAGAAGATAAATCAGGAAGTGAGGAGGTAGAGAGGCCTCCTAGCTGAATATCAAGTTCAGTTGTATGACAGAGATGCTTCCTAGCTGTAGGAAAAATGAAGTTTCCTAGTAAGTAAGTAAGCAAAGACTCCTTATGTTAGGAGGTAAGGAAGCTTCCTTTCTACAAAGTGAGCAGAAGAGACTCGTGTTAGTAAGGAATCAAAAAGGAAACGGTTCTTTCAGGAGAGGGAGAGACGTTTCCTAGGTAACGAGAAGATAAAGAAGCTTGAAGTAAGTAGAGAGGATACCTCTTCGCCAACTAGGGAAAAGAAGTGTCCTAGGGAGGAAGCAAGGAAGTAAAGTAGCGTCCTTTCATGAAGGAGACGAGGAGTCATGATGATCTGCAGGAAGTGCAGTGATACTCGTCACAGTGAGAGCTCCTATTAACACATCATTAACACATGCTCGCTCGCCCTGTCTCTCTCTCTGCCACTAACTGTCTGTCAGTGTGTGTGTGTGTGTGTGTGTATGTGTGGTACCTCTAAAGATGGGTCGGTGTGTGTTCAGCTGCCATATTATCCTCAGTTATATCCTTTCTCTCTTCTTTCTGTTGGTATGTCTCTCGCCCTTCGTTTCCCTCTCACTCGCCCTCTCACTCTCTCTCTCTGATAAGAGTGGTCAGAGTACAAACTGTGATGTAAGTGTGTGTTCAGGGAGTGGACTTCATTTCTCTTTATGTGTAAAGGAATGTGTGTGTGTGTGTGTGGGGGTGTGTGTGTGTGTAAGAGTGTGTGTGTGTGTGTGTGTGTGTGTGTGTGTGTGTGTGTGTGTGTGTGTGTGAGAGAGAGAGAGAGAGAGAGAGAGAGAGAGAGAGAGAGAGAGAGTGTCAACAATAATGTGACCTTGAGTGTTTTTTATTTGTTGAAACAAACAGAAACCAGTACGTCCGGCTGTGATTGGCTCTCACACCTGTCAATCAATCTACCCACTAACCAGCTCAGTCTGACAGAAGAAGCTCAGTGAGTCAGTTGAAAGCTGAGCGGGACTTTATTCACTGTAGGTGGAATATTTTCATCCATTCACAGACGTGGATTAGAGTGAGGGGGTGAGGGAGCAAGGAGGAAAAGCATGTATTGACAGTGCTCTTGCTGTGTGTCTGCAGTCCTTATAAAAGAAGATATATATATATAGGATATATATATTAGATATATAATATCTATATAATATCTAATATCTATATATTATATAGTTATTATATAATATATATAATATATACAATAAATGTTTTGTCATTAACAATAATGACAAAACATTTATTGTCGGTGTACTCTATCGCCCACCAGACTCTGCTCTTGACACAGACAAACTGAATAAGCTAAAAAAAGATTGTATACTCCTTGGTGACCATAACATTGATATTTCCAAGGACGATGGGGCAAAACATGACTTTATGAACACATTGCACTCCTCCTCTTTCTTCCCCACCATTAATAGATTTACTAGAGTTACACAGACATCCAAAACAATTATTGACAATATCATTACTAATATTCAAAATACCAAACTGGAGACGGGAGTCGTGCAGTCTGACATCACAGACCATTTTCCCATTGCAATATTTTTTGGCTCGGGCAAATCGTTCTCTCCTCCACTCTCTAAAATTAAATCTAAAATCCTTAACGAGAGAACCTTACAGCATCTAATTGTGAACTTACAGGCCAAGTCGTGGGACTGTCTATTACAGTGGGACTCCTGATGCTGCATAAGACAGTCTGGTAAAGATCATTCTAGACTCCATCAAGGACACAATCCCTGAGAAGACTGTCAGATGCAGTACTACCCTCCAGAACCCTTGGATTACAAAGGGAATTTTAAAGTCTATTAAATATAAAAGTAGGCTTTACAAATCCTACATGAAAAATCCTTCTAGCTTAAATAAAGAGAAATATATTTCCTATAAAAATAAACACAGATCATAAGAAAGAGCAAAAGAAGTCATTACACAGAACTCTTACAAGCTTCACAGGGGGACTGCAGGAGGTCTTGGAATGTGTTAAATGAAGTCCTCAACAGGAGACATAAACCTACTGCTCTACCTGACCTTGGTGATGCCAAAGCTGATCTTGCACAGAGTTTTAATAATCATTTTGCCTCAATAGGTGTAAATCTGTCTAAGAAGATAAGTCAACCCCAGGGTGTCACCTTCAAGCATTTTCTTTCTGGTAGCTACATTTATTCATTTTTCATGATACCAAAAGACGGTACTGAACTCCTCAAGATCATTTTGGACTTGAAGAGCTCGTACACCGCTGGTTTAGATGGAATATGTAGTAAGATCATAAAGGCCATTGCAAACGTCATTGTAGAGCCACTGGCTCATTACATCAACCTTTCTTTACTTACTGGCACTGTACCTAAAATGACAAAAATTGCTAAGATAATTCCAATTTTTAAATTGGGCGACAGAAATGACATGAGCAATTACCGGCCCATATCAATTCTACCCACTTTCTCTAAAGTAATGGAGAAAGTAGTATACAATAGACTAAGTGGCTATCTTGATAAACTAGATATTCTTGTTCCATCTCAATACAGTTTTAGAAAAAAGAGCACAACCTGTATGGCAATACTTGACCTAATAGAACAAATTAATGACTGCATTGAAGAGGGAAAATGTGGTGTTGGTATTTTCTTGGACCTATCAAAAGCCTTTGATAACACTGACTTTGATATTTTATTGCACAAATTGCATCACTATGGTATCAGAGGTCTAGCACTTGAATGGTTCAGAAGTTATTTATACGAGAGGGAACAGTATGTCCATGTCAGTGATCTTAACTCTACTTGTAAGCCCATAATCTTTGGGGTCCCCCAGGGTTCCATTTAAGGGCCACTCTTATTCATTCTATATATAAATGATTATTTTTGCTGACGACACAAATTTGTTCACATCACACAGGAACCCACTTATCCTACAAGATATAGTAAACTCAGAGTTAACTAAAGTGGACTCCTGGTTTAAATGTAATAAACTGTTATTAAATGTCAGCAAAACAAATTTCATTTTATTCAAATTTAAATTTAAATTTAAAAGCACTGATCACTGCCTGATTAAAATTAATGGGCAGGAGATAAAAAGAGTGCATTCCACAAAATTCCTGGGGATTCTCATTGACGATTCGCTCAACTTTAAATGTCATATCGACCATCTTGTAAACAAACTGTCTAAGTATGTTGGCTTGTTCTATAACATC